ACTGAACAAAGTACTATAAAGTCATAAGCTGTTTTTTATGACCACATCTGTTAGTGGCTCTGTTCATTAGTAACAGCTGAATGGTATGTGATCAAGTGACAATTCATCAAAACGCCTACTAAAAGCAAAGAAAGAGGGAAGAAAAATCTACATGCCATATGTAAACGTTGCCTGTATGTGTTTTATTTACCTGACAGGATCTAGACTATGATTGTCATAAGCGACTGCACATTTTCACATATGGGTGCAAACTTTGAGCCCATGTGTGTTCATGGGAGAAATGGAAAGATGGCGGCGCAGCTTTTTTAGCTACGTTGAAGGTAATAGGATTAGCACAAAGTCACAGATTTATCTTTTACTGTTTGGGAAACATGGAGATGGATCATACACACACACACCCCCACCACCAATTCTGATTCTCCCTCTGCTCTGCCCTTTCCCTGTTTATTCACCAGGCGCCTCCATAATTCATTACTGTGTCATACTAGAATCAGTATAACTTGCTTTATGATGCAGAGCCAGTAGAGCTAAAACTCCACCCTATCTGACACTTTGGCTGATGCAAATTTGCCTGAAGGAAATCCAGTCTATGGTCAAGGGAAATAAGAAGACTCATTGGAGCTGCCAGTATCAGATGCAGCAGCAGACTTAAGCAGTACACACAGACAGAGGCAGAGCTTACGGACCGATAGTCAAAAACATTTTCAGACTGGCACCATTGAGCAAGAGTGGATGGTTAGATGAGAAGATTGATAGATGTTATGTCTGTTTGACTGCATCAGTAACACCAAGGTGTAATGTCTTTTTAAAAGGAAGATAAAGCTGGTATATTTTTACATAATTCTTGTCTGGACACATAAGACAGCAAATTCAATGCAGATTAAGTTCAAGGTGTCTTGCTTTCAGCCTGTGCATTTTTTTGTCAGTTAATTGAGTGTGTGACAACTTAACTGCAGAGACTCGAGCTGACCTGCGCCGTCCAGCTAAACAAGACCTTTCAAGACCAATTAAGTGGGAGAGCCACAGCGGGAAGTTAAAGAAGCTGGACAGCATTCTAAGCTCCTGCTAAAACCTGTTATCAGAACAAAAGCTTCAAAGTCAAATATAAGACTCAACGCCACCCATAATTCCCTGTTTGTTTTTGAGATGGATTACTCCGAGCCAAATGAAGTTCCCGGAATCACAACAGACACTGCAGATTAAATGCATATACAGGCAGCACAGCACACGCTGCACGTCTGCCACAAGAAATGTGTACACATCACACGTGACGCTGCTGCAACAGAAGGGAGTGTTGCGTTTCAAACAAAGGTGGGGGGGGTGTTATTGTCCTAAATAATCTGCTCGCTGAGCATTTCATCAGAATGCTAGCAGCAGCCCATCAAATTCTATGTGCTACTTTTCCAGCAGAAGGTTTTACAATATTCATAAAGTGCTTGGAAAAATATAAAGATGGATAGGTAAAGGCTCAACAGCTGGCAATAATGTTTGGTGTCAAGACAATGAACAATGCTGAACTTGTAAAGGTTTTTGAGGTGTGTTGAAAATGTGCAGTACTCAATAGCCAGACTACGAGAGATCTATGGGGACCAAGCTCCGTTCTCATAAATATATAAACATATTTTAGAGCGTAAAATATGCTCTAATATAATTTAATCCCTGCTAGACATTAATGTTTTCCCCAAAATGTGGCCAAAGTATGCACTTTTTTATTGCCCATATCTGGCGCTGACTGACTGCACTGGTCCACCTTAAACAATTCTTATATTAAATGTGTTACAACATTTGGGCCACATCTGGTCCACACTACACTAATTATAACCCACATTAATACCATGTCTGGCCCAAACATCTGAGCTGTCAGTGCCAAAAAGATCCCAGATAAGACCCAGATGTGTTTACTATGTGTAGCAAGAAGCACTTAAAAAAAAGAAAAGAAAGAAAATCCCTCTCTTCCTTCCCTCAGCCCCAACTGGTCACTGGTCTTATGACCCAGTGTTTTGACTTTTAGTTCATTTTGATGTTTATAGTATGTTTAAGCTCATTAGGTTTCCTATGTTCATTTGCTTATTAGTTCCCCCTTGTGTTTTCAACCCCTGTGACGTCCCCCCTGCCCTTTCATGTCTGAGAGTCTCATGTTGTCAAGTTCATGTTGTCATGTCTGCGTCTCATTATGGTTCCTGTTTTATTTTGAAGGGGTCCTGTGTTCCTATGTTCAATGTTTTTAGTTTTACTCTCCTCTTGTGATGTCCTTATGTTCATGTGTGTCAGCTGTTTCCCCATGTGTTTCCGTTTCCCTCATTATCCTCCTGTGTGTATTTAGTCCATGTGTCTTCAGTCATTCCTTGTCAGGTCGTCTGCTCATGCACGTCACAACTTCAGGTATCCATGTCAGTTCACCATGTTTAAGGTTTTTTCATGTTTAGTTTTAGTTCACCCAGTTTAGGTTATTGTTTAGTTTCACCTATGCCCTTTGTTTGTACCTTGTTTCCTAGCCTCAATAAACGGCTTGTTTTTTGTTAAATCCATGTCACGTTCAGTTTTTGGTCTGCGTTTGAGTCCTCTCTTGCAAACACATACAGTCTGCCTCAGCCAGACTGTGAAAATAACTTACAATATAAAGCGCCTTAAAGGTGACTATTGCTTTGATTTGGAGCTATATAAATAAAACTGAACTGAAGTGAATTTTACAGGTGTTTGTGCTCAGTCACTCCTTTGTTATGTTGTGGTTACTCAGGAATGTGCTACCATAAACATGCACTTTAACTGCTCCTGATTGCTTTCTCTTACAATTACAAAGTATTTTAAGAACTTTTTTATCGTGTTATGACAAGTCCTGCCTGCTAATTTAAACCTTCCTGCTGTGACACACGACCACGAAAAGCCAGCAACCTTTCTCCATTGAAGGAAAAGAGAGCCTTGTTTACTCCCAGTCTTTTCTCCCCATTTCCCTTGAAGGTCTCCCACCAACAGTTGCGTGCGTCTACTACTTAAAAGTCAGGCGGCTTTTAGCCTGGGGGGCTGAAACAGAATGAGGTGGAGTTTGGGCCGGAGAATGCGAGACAGTTGACTTGTTGCGTCAGGCTAGAGGTTGTTTCATTTCAGCCCGACATGGGATAGCAGATTAGAGCCCCACCCCCAAACACCCTAGCAGTCCATGGCTTCAGAGTGCGTATGTGTTTCTGCGCTGCCTTGTTTCTGCGCTCGCTCTGACCGTCTATCAACTTTCCCCGAGCGCCCCTGCAGTGTTCCCAGGCACCAATTACGCCAGGACTTGTCCCTTTCCTCCTCTGGATTGGAAGTGATGCGGCTTGCCCCTACAGGGTCGACACCACCACTACACCCACATATCAGTGAGAGATTCTGCCAGCGCCCGCGGCCCTCCTTCACCACAATCCTGGAGAAATGATAATTATGACATCCACCCACTCAACAGGCATGAGATAGTTCAACTCCCTTGCCCCTTGTTCCAGCATTTTTTTTTCTTCCTTTTTTTTTTTTTGACTGATTCAATATTACGTGGGCTCACGCTGCCTACTTCATCTCCGCTCTCTGATACATAACTGCAGGATTTCTCAATCTGACAAACAGCACACTAATATAGTTTCACCATGGCCCGAAGCTCTACCCTCGACCCTGAGCTGGCTCTGAAATCCGCAGACCACTCACACCTGTGGCCAATTTCCTTTTGGCTACTCAACTCATTACAGACAACACCTACCCTATTCAAACATATTTGTGTTTCCCCTTCACTGCAAACAGTTTGTTCAGTTGTAGGGGACTAACCACCACTGCACCACCTGATATCCACAAGTAAACATCAGCTCTTGTTTCCCCTCTCTCTATAATTCCCTGTGCCTGGGTGACTTTTTTTTTTTATTTAGGTATTATAGCAATGGAGCTACAAAGCTGGAGGGGGGAAAAACAAAAGAAAACTCTTAACACTAGAGAGTCAGACAAGAAAGTTGTGATTAAAAAAATAAATAATCAAATGTTATGCCATCCAGGGCCTATAACTGGGGCATTACCTTATTAACCATTATTCATCCAAGCAAAAAATTGGGGTCCAGACTCAATTAAGCAAACTTAAAGATAATCAGACAGTGCTTTCCCCATTAACTTGCACTTCCTCTAATTGAAGGGGGGAAGCTGATTAGAAGTAAGGCACAAATGCAGTGCAGATCTATTGAACTGCCTGTGATTACAGAGTGTGAACATGCACGCTATAACAGCGCCGTGTAAAACGTAACGAGATTAATTGGCTGGCTCTGCTTCCTGATTGGCTCGGTTCTGTCAGAATTTATGACGCAGCGCCCATTAAAAGACACCTGTGACCACTAACACTAATAAATATTCATACGCCACAGATATAATTAGTGATGGCCGAACGCCAGGAGGGAAGAGCGAAGTGTGAGCCAGCTTCAATCTGTTACCGCGCAGAGCTCTGTTAAAAATGAGCCAAAGTTTTGTCTTTTTTTTTAAATATATTTTTCCTTGTATGTAATACAAAGCAGAGCACAGGCACACCAGTCCGAATTTCCATAGGGGAGAACAGCGCCGTAGGATACAGTAACTGTGTGTGGCAGACAGCCAGGTGTGCTCGAGGTAATGGAGCCCCCTCAGGAAAACTCACAGCTCCTTCTCTGTTCCTGTCAAGTCCAGGCACTATTTTTTATTTATTTTTTTCTTTAAAGCTGTTTTCTGCCTGTGCTTTCTGACAATCTACACCCTCTGTTTTATAGCAGGTTTTTAAGGGGGGATAAAACTGGATGGTTACTGCACTGCAACATTCTTTAGCTAGTTAGAACGTGCCCGTAATGGACGCGGATTCCTTATCATTTAAGCTAGCCCCAATAAACAAAAAAAAAAAAGGGGGGGGGGGGGGGGCAGTTATTTAATTGCAATGAAACAGAAGTAAACTTTCCATAAATCACATCTGATCCATAACTGACAGAACATTGACAGAAAAATATTTACATTCACCGTAAAGTGACACTTACCGGATAAAACTGTTGAAGAAAGACGATGTTTAAGTCCAAATTTCACTGTACTTGGTCCATCAGTTAATGCGGGTAACCCACCACCTTTAAAAAGAGGAGAGGGGGGACGCGCAGCCTAACAGTTTCACTACAGTCCACGAAGCTCCTTATAAAACAGGCTGACACACTACAAAACTTCACAGGTTCCGTCAGTCCTCTCCCTTTTCCTTTGCGGTTCCTCACACACACTCACACACACGCTTAATTATTCCGATACACCAGGACGCTTTGCGGTGAGGTTTCACTCCGGTCCCGGGATGATGAGCTGCCCGCAGCCTTCCTCCTTCCAGTCTCTCCACAGTCAATTAGGATTAAGTTGCAGGTTCGAGGCGACAGTGTTAAAACATTGTTGCCATTAAAGCGGGGCTATTCTTTCATCTCTCTTTTTTCTAATTATGCTTCTAAGGTCAACTTAAAATAAAATAAAAATACAATGCCAGCGCGTGCCGTACCCTGTTCTCGCGCTGCGCCGCGCGCTCTGTGTAGTTAACCAATCTGCGATATATTGGAGTTGCTCGGTAATTTGCATGCTGTAGAGGTGGACTACAAGGAGGCAAGGCGGCGTCAAGGCGACCGCAGCACGCGGCTCTCCCGGAGACATTCAGACTTTCAGAATAAAAGCCTGGAGTAGATCAAATGCATTTATTTATTTTTATTTAAGCCTCTTTAATATTTTGATCAATTTTACGATTTTTATCTATCACAAAACATAATTTAAATTATATTTAATCACTCTAAAAATGACCATACAAATATTTTTCATTTCTTTCCAACAACTGCCAGCCAACCAAAAAAACCAAACAAACAAACAAAAAAAAAAAACGTTTATTCACGAAGGGATATCATGCAACTTCCGGTACTTTAGTGTCTCTATATCGGGCAGTTTTATGCAACTGGGAAAGCACTGAAACGGTTATACAGAGCTCCTCCTCTTGGAGATTCTCACAATAGACCGAGAAAAAAAACTCTTACACTGATAGGCTTTAAATAGCCTGGCTGCAGCACCAAGACCAAAGAATGCCTATATCAGCCATATAAGGCAACTAAAATAGTAGCATAAAAATATGCAAAGGTCTTGTAATCACATAAGTCAAGTATAGCATTTTTGACATAATAGTGTTGATTCTTATGTGTGAGAGAAGAAAATAATTTCCTGTGTGTGTGTGTGTGTGTGTGTGTGTGTGAGAGAGAGAGGGGATCTGCACAGTGGCAAACTAACACACCTTTCATCACACAGCAAACTGCAAGCTGGTGTGTATGTGTGTGTGTGTGTGTGTGTGTGTGTGTGTGTGTGTGTGTGTGTGTGTGTGTGTGTGTGTGTGTGTGCGCCCTTGAACACGACACTGAAGTGCTACCACTTCCAAATGAGTTGTGGCTGAGCTTGACCTTTAACCTCCCTGTGGTGCAAGAACTAATAGGGTGTAAGATCATTATTATTCCAGATCATGCTCCTGTGTGATGAAAAAAGAATCAGACAGATCAAAACCGCTGAAAATAACCTTGGAATGGCCAACTGATCATCTGCATCAAACCCAGGGTTGTAATTCTCTGCAGCTTACTCGCTGATCACTTTCAGATGGGCTGCCCCCCGCCCCAATGCAATCGGTTGTGTCTATCTGCTGCATAAAGCCAAGTGGGTTTGTCACGCAATTAGAGAAAATTTTACTCCCATCTGGAACATCACAGACTGGAGCAGTCGTCTATTGCTTGACCTCATCGGTGACCCATCTCAGACAGATCATCTCAAAGGACCTGGTCAGAGTATCAAAGATGCAGGAGTGACAAATTACAACCTTTAAAAAAATTACCCAAGAACTTGTAATGTAGAGTTTAATCATGAGATGTAAAACAGGAAGAAAAAAAAGTGTGATTCATTTACACAACTTAATGATACCTTGCAAGCACATTCACACATTTAGACAAAAACAAAATTAACATTAAACAGTGCGCTAATGGCAGTGACAACAAGAGAGTACGGTGTATTTTAAAATGCAAAGTCACTCTCCAAATAATTCCCCAGCCTAATATTTCATTCTGGTAGAGTAAATATTCTGTGTCCTGTTCACAGAGCCCTGCTACAAAAAAACAAAACAAAAATCATTTACGCTCACTTAAAATCAAATTCTTGAATTTAGAGCATTAAAAAGCTTGTTTAGAACCTGATACAAAACCTTTTCTTGACATTTTGGACAGTGCCCCCACCACCCACTTCATAATAAATATATAGTAGTAAATGTATAGTAAACATTTCAAGTTAATGACCTTAAATTTAATGACAACATACATTCCCCCCAAATATTCAGAATTGACAAACATGACAAAAACAGCACTGAGAGGACGCTGTATGGTTAATAAACTGGCTGTAAGAACCAATAATACATATTACAGCATTACAGTCAAGAGATTAATATTGTGGAAATTATAACACAGAACCAATGAAAATCTGTTTCTCGCTGAAAAAATATAAAAACAAACCAAAAAATATGTGAATATGAGCGTGTAAATAAGTCACCTGGCTTTTTTGTTTTGTTGAGTTTTCATTCTGGTCCTCTGGATAGCACTGTTTTCTATTTTTATTGTCATATGTACATATCTATAGCCATGTGAATGTAGATAAATAGATCTATCTATGCATGTATCTATCTACAGTGGACAGCCACTCAAGTGCATTAATACAGTTCACTAAACCGATCTGTTTGTGCCGATTGGAGTTCATTGGAGTTCATTGGAACTACTGCATGTACAGCAATTCCAGTGTAAATGTCTATTCAAAGTATTTTTCATTAGAACTGCTTTACGTACAGCACATTTCAAAAGGTCTGTGCTCCAGTTTTAATGAGTGAAATTCTATCAAATGTCAAGACTAATGTTAATATTGTGCATGGTCCTATTTCAAGCACATAAGTACTTTAAAAAATAAATAAGCACATTATTTAGAGCTGATTAGCAGACATATGTGTCTATGGACTGGACTCCTATATTAGCATTAGCTGATAACTTAGCACTCCAACCAGCGGTTGGCACTGGAGTCCAGAAGACTAAATTTGAGGCTTCAAAATGTCCAGCACCAAGAGGTGATGTCATGATGGCTGCATCCATCTTTTTCTAACTGATTATGTTTTCATCTCCATTTTTTTTATTGCTGAAATCTGTTGGTGCACCTTTGTATGATTTTCAGTTGTACAGCATCTTATTCTGCCCTCAGTGCGATATAAACAGGGCTGTCAATGTTAATGCAGATTAATCTGTCATCGCGATTAACACTATTAAAATTTTTAATGCAACTAACCCATCTGGAGCGCAGAATGACTCTAAATCCCTGAAATGTCTCTGTCAATACATTTCGGGCAGTTTGTCCAAAGTTTGTCCACTCTGTGCTCCAGATGGATTAAATGTGTTAAAAAAAAATTAATTGCGTTAATCATGATGATGCGTTAATGTTGACAGCCCTAATATAAACCATTTATGTTTTCTTTTATAGCCCAACTCTCTTTAAAAATAGAAAATAAAATCCCTTGAACAGAAAGTTGGTGGGACTTCAGCACTTACAGCCAGAGCTGCATCACTGTGTTGACCATATTACCATATTAGGAACATCCCCTGTCAGTGATGTCATACAGAACCAAAAATGAAAAAAAAACCCACAACAAATTAGAGCAGTCTAAAACCCGAGTTTATGGCTCACAGAGATTTCTTCTATATCTATTTCTAATTAAAACACTGACTGCATTTAATATGAGGATCCATCATTGTAATAGCATAAGTGACAGAAAAAATACGTAAATCACAATACTGTACCTTTAATTCAAGCCACAAAGCCACTATGTGTCTGTACCAAGAACCTCCTTATTTACTCTTCCTAAGTAGTTCCACTGCTGTATTATATGGGCAATAATATCAAACAAAAACCGCGATAAGATGTGTATCTTTATTTGTATTAGTGGACTGAGACTGGAACAGCAGACTAGGTGCTGACAGAGCTGTCATTTAAACAAGGGCACTGTGTGTTGAATTATTTACTTCTGTTTCACTGATCTGTTGTTTGATCACAGAATGAGGTACTTTTTGTTCATAATCAAATTAAATACGAGCCCCATCAAGCAGATGGGGCATCAGTCGGTGGCACGCTTTATGGAAAACCCCATTGAGTAAAATTAATGCTCTTTACGAAACTTCCACCTAACTTCCACTGAAATGTGAGAAGGCTGAGGGAGAGAACATGTGCATGAATACATTTATTCAACTGTACTATTCACTAAGCTAAGTTTACAATGCAAACAACACCTCATGCTTGTGTTACAAATTTCACATTTGAACTGAGTGGTGTAATTCTTATTTCATTAGTTTGTGTGTGTTGCTGTTGGGGTTTGTTTGAGGTTATAAACAATAAGTGCTCAAAATAATTGAAACACTTTAACTGTAGTGCTAGTGATAGTTAGTTTGGATGCGAGTTGGCCAGTTTGGCTGTGATGTCTGTCTTCTCTTGAATATAATTAAAGTAAATGGCACTTCAGTATGGTGCTGAAAATACTTCAGTTCCTTTCTGCTGCTGAAATCTGCCAAGCAGCTCATAGACTGTATAAAAAAAGATGGATGCAGCCACCATGATGTCATCAATTGACTCATTGTTGCCATCTTAGAATTTTCAAAACAAGATGTCGTGAGTGTGATGTAGATATGGCTGAGGGACACTGCATCTTCTTAAGGTACTGACTTGTCAGTCACAAGGTAGCATACTCTGCTTTGTCCTTCTGCACCATAACATAATGCCAAAACGAATGTCATGCTTTATTCAGTAAGACTTGGAACAAAACTTAGATCTAGTGATCAAGCTCATAAGCCCATTAGGAAAGTGTTTACTGAGGTTACACAGTAAAAGAAGCAGAGGGCTGTCTTCACATAGACGTCTATACAATCAGACTTCCTTGGGCAAACAGAGAGGTAAACCTCTAACATAAAGTAAGAATCCTGGTTATTGCCTTCTATCCTAAGATGCAGAAGCTATGCTAATCATTTAAATACAATCTATATGTATGGTTCTATATGCAAAATTTCTACCTTCACCAAGGAAAACAACTTTATAGCTAGCTATACATTATTTCTATATATTTTCAAACTGTTACTAGTGTTGGGGTCATTACACAATAAAACACGAAGCGTTATAAATCACTCTTACTTATCTTCAAAGTACTACGTTACCTAATTACTTAATAAATATATTATCAATTTAGGGTTTTTTTTAATGGAATTTTTTTTTTAAGCCAAATAAGTCCCAGTGGAAAAATGTCACTCTCTGATGGCTTCGTTAATACCAGGTCTCTGTCGTCACTTTCTTCTGCTGGATTATATAACTGCAGCATCTGTGTGTAGCAGTGTACAGAAGGCAATTAGTCGGTAGTACAGTAGTGTTTTCTGTCTGTAAACACTGTTGCACCAGCTGAATTAATTCCATTTCAGGGTTTCTTCTCTCCCTCTCCAAACACTGGTTTTCTTTAAAGTTTGTTTTTACCACGGTGTGGCGGGGCGGGGTGTGGCCTGCGGTGCCGTGCAGAGGAGGCGGACACACC